TTAGCTCTAAGCAGGACATTTATTGCTAAGAAAAGTAAGCCTCTCCCTTTTCCCATACATGAACTTGTGATTCAAACACACAATTGGTCCACATGTTTTAACTACTGTTTATTTGCACTGTTTATAACATGTAAAGTTATTTAATTTGATACTTAACAAAAGTGAATTTTGTGGTTATCTATGAGTTGCATATCTGGTAGTTGAAGTACTGTAAGAAAGTATAATACATACTCCAAGTATTGAAATACACGCCATCGTGTTGGGATTCAATATTTCGACATTAATTATGTCATCATCAGGAATGAAGTACTGTATGTATGCCATTCCTCTACTTTGTTGTGGAATAACGTTTATAAAACTTATTTCTACTATCAAAATGTTATTCAATGGCCATTGTTTTCTGATAATCTCTCAGTACATTATTTGCATCTGTTGTGTAACTGTATTTGTTATTGATTCAATTCTTGCTTAATACAGTTTTTAAATATTTGAAGATTTAAAAAAAAAATATAATTTCTAATACTGAATTTTTTTCATTGGGGCCATTTTTAACTACTTGTCATTTAGGGCCATTTTTACTGGGGCCATTTTTACCGGGGCCATTTTTTCCGGGGTCATTTTTTCCTGTGCCATTTTTTCCGGGTGCCATTTTTACCTGCATTCCTAACGTGGTACTGCTATTAACTAGGCCTACTGTATAAAAACACAAGTTGTTGGTTTATTGTTGTTAATTAGGCACCAAATTTAACATTCACATTTCATTTACATAAAATACCGTATACCGTATAGATTAAAGTCAACGAATAAAAATACATTAAATGATACCACGCAATCAATTTTGCACAATGTGAAAATTTATCGGGAATATTACTGGAAGAATAGTATAAACAAGAATGTATATAAACTCATATCAACCTATATACGGTAAACGTCAGTACTGTTGTATTAGCTCTCTTAATTATTTTTATTACTCTGCGAACAATTTAGTAATAGGCAGTAACGTACTATACTAGCCCTATCATCTCATTCCGTGGTCCATATAAATGAATGATATATATTCATGATTCTTGAAACCTTACTGCCTCAGTTTTCATTTATATATGTAGGCTGAAATGAGGAACAGCTGTATACTCGTAATCACCAACTTTTATCTAAAACAAGCATTTATTTAAAAGTAAAATTCAAAATAATACTTCAACTGCTCTTATTTTGTGAACTCAGTTCTACGGCATGAACGTATTGATGTAACATAATGGAGTAGTTTTGTTTATCTTTGTCTATAGATAAATGCAATACACAGACGTATAATGAGAAACATTGTTAATCCTCTAACAACATCAAAGCGGGATAGTTTGATTAAAAGTAAATTAAAGATGATAAGACAGAATTATCATTACGGCTAATGTGGGAAAGCGTCATTATAGCTATAGGTGGATTAGGCGTAATGATTTCTTAATCGTTAATTAATTAAACAGTTCTTAAAATACAAACTAGAGATAGGCCTATTTAGGCTGCTAAAGCGCAATAATGATAAGTGACTTCATGAATCCAAAAATGGGGATTTGTGCTACCGGTACCTACCGATTCTAAATATCTAGTGTTGTGAGTTTTTTTTTTTTTGCAATTTAACTTTTTTTATGAGAAGCCAGAAATGGTAGAATGTTTGAAAATCACGTTTTAAGCATTATTTAATAAATAAACTTTAGCTCAGTGCCCATCTTACACTTTTTGGTGAATTAATTTTTGTTACGTAATAACACATTGGACATGAAGTACTTTAAAGACTGGTTTTAATGACAATACACTAGCTTTTATGCACACAGTGCACTTCTTCAGGTGGATTTTTGTTGAACTGTGGTTATTATTTTAAAAGCCAAAATGTATGGGGTGAGTGATGGTAAATTACATGAACCCTAGACTTATAAGCTTAGGCCTATGTCTACAATAGGCATATGGAAAAAGAAAAAAATCCCGGCCTACCCTAATTCCCACTGTTCGTAGGCAATCATTTTTGTTTTAACTTAACAGATAGAATGAATAAAAATATAAGTGAGGAAATAAGTTTCTCTACCACCAGCTCTCTTTAAGGTTTTTGGGCCGCTATGGCTTTCTTTATTTATAACTTGTATAGGAAAATATTCAAGGGTACCGTATTATTAGTAGGGCTAGTAGTAGGATATACAAATTACTTGCGCATCACTGCTAGGAGCAAAGAGGTGTAGGCCTACATTATCAATCGTCAATACAACAGTACAGTATTTTTCAATTGCGTGTGCAGTTGTCCTTCAATTCCTTTTTAATTTGCCCTTTCTTTTGTTCTCTGAAAACATAAACATATTTTTCTAACGTTGACTGTTTTCAATCAATCGCGTGCAGTATTTTTATTCCGAGTGATCACTCCCAGTGAAAACGATCAACTATGCACCAATAAGTTAAATATATACAGTTGGTGTCTAGTACTAGCACTTTTACATGGGTACAATGTGAATGCTGCAACCTAGCGTATGCGCTTCGTCCGGCAATTGTTTGTCAAACGTCAGATGAAAAAGCTAAGCCGAGAGAAGTCTTTTATTTTTCCACCGTGTTTGTGTTGCATAATACCAGTCGTGTTATTTCAAATTCGCATCACTGGACTCCTATTTTTTAATTTATAACGTATACCGTTAGGTCTACTAAGAGTTTAAATAAAGGTGTTTTGAATTAGGAAATCAAAATAAGGCCTATGGTATACTGATAGGCCTATTTAATGTTAGCAACATATATGCCTAATTTACATAGGCCAGGGACAATTTGCTCACACAATGCCACAATTAGGGTATAAAATAAAAACATAAAATAATATCAGAGTTTTCACAGGCTTGACACGTTTCTTTTACGGCTGCCTTGTATGAAATACCCTAAAAAAGGCGAACAGTTTGGAAGAAGGGAAACCCTACATTATATTTAGAGACCTACTGCTTTAAATAGGATAAAATATTTTCTATTCATTTTTTTTGTAATTATTTAGAAAAAATTTCTTTTGTTTCTTCGATAATACACAATACAATCAGGCACCAGACACCTCGCAGTTGAAAAGATTTCTGAATGGTTTTCTGGATTTGCCTTTTGAAAGAGACTCAAGGGGAACAGAAAACATGTATTTACTTAAAAAAAATAGTCTCATGCTAATGTAGGCTTATATCATAGCAGTTAATATTCACTTATTAATTAAAAACAATGAAAATTATTATTAAACACTGAAGAGAGGTGGCGCCTGTCAATGTACGGAGGCCTCTAGATCATTACTTTGTGGTCAATTCCAGCAGCCTCGGTACGCAAATCACCGTGAGTGATCTGTACTGGAAGAAGATTAAACGCTTCCTCAATGGTGTTAATGAAGAAGGTGATAATAGGCCTATGGGCATATAGAATAAACATTTAATTTGTGTATTACTTCCTTGTCATTATTTAAAGTTAAGCCCAAGGTACTTTTAATACTACCATGACTTCCCATCAAACGCATGTGACTTGCTATCCTGTCTGAATTTTAATGTCCTGTCTATGGCAATCGAGATTCGAGCCCAAGCTACCCGCCCCGCCAACCTATTATAAGGCTAATACACATAAGCCTAATGTACACTATACCACTATACACAAATAGCATAACCATGGCTGCTCCCTGATTTGACTTATTTCACAAATGTAATATACCTTCATAAATGCCTGCTTCACTGGATTTTTTTGCTATGAGTCGTTATTTCAAGGATATACGCAATTACATGATAAATATGTGTTAATTGAAAAAAAATTACTTTAAGATTATTTTATAAAATATATTAATTTTTATATTAGAGATATAGACGTACTTGTATTAAATGTAAAATATACCAGAAAAGGTAATATCTGATAAAAAAGAAATGATAGTTTGTATAACTGCTAAGTGAGTAGGCAAGAAATAGAAAGGATGGTATTACTTTGATAAAATGAAAAGGTAGGTCTACATTTTGATTTCTTGTGCTGCCGTTTTTAATTTTCAATAAAAAAAATTACAAAACAAAATAAACATGTTTACACTCTGTTGTTTGTGTTTCCTGTTTGTTCTCTACCTGTTGTTTTGATACATGTATATATATACATATATATATACATATTATATTAATTTAATTCAATTCAATGCTATTACCGTATCTTCATGGAAATTAAGAAATTTGTCATTGGCACACACACTGGATAATTTTATACACGAAGCAACATTAAACATAAGAAAAATGAATAACTGAATAGGCACCAACTGGTAACCCAGACTGGAATGGGATATGGTTACCACCAAATCATCAAATCAAATCAAGGGTTGCTAAGCGGGAATAAGCCCATATAAACAACTCCCATATAGAGATTGAAACAATTTAAAGAAGATAAGCAGTAAAACTACACGAAACAATTAAACTATATAAAAACTTAAAGACTTAGATGTTGGATTAATTTAAAAATTAATTAATTTAAAATTAAAAAAAATATATATATATACATATATATATACATATATATATATATATATATATATATATATTATAAGGCCTATACAGTACATTGAATATGCAAATTAACAGCCCACAATGCTATGTTCACAATAATAAAATTTTTAACAATACCTGTATAGGCCTAATATTTTATGTAGTATATTTATCTATTAATTTTGTTTCGATTGATAATTCAACGACTAATATCTGACGAATTCGATTATCTCTGTTAAAATAAATCGGTTGCCTTTAAAGTTGTTGAAAAACGTCTTATTCCATTCGAATTGTTTTTAGCCAGATAACGTACTACAAAGATCATAACTAGACGCAAACAAATCACTAAGCTTTAAAATCGCGAATTTCACGCATGCGTAAGCTTCCAATTGATCTGTTTCATTGGACGTTCAATAAGTCAGCTTGTCACTCACAAAAGCCTCAGCCAATCACGCGGAAGCTTAATTACTCTTTAATTCAATCGTATACATACCTAACAAGTATGCTAGCCGCTTTCCAGCCAGCTTGAGTTATAGTTTAAGAGTGTCTTGGAGCGGTTCGCTCCAGTAGTACAGCCTCCTCTGGCCAGTTAAAAGGTTGAAATCGTTTACTACAAACAGAATTGCAATTGAGAGACAGAAAGAAAAAACAATACAACAGTCGTGGAAATGACCACCGAAGCAATGCAAACCACGTATATGGACCATTCGCTTGGAAAGTGCAACCTTAGATATACCCTGGACGTAGGCCAGAATTTTAACGTTTCTGGATTTGGTATCGCAACTCATGCACATCATCCGACGGGAGATGCGGGAGGGGATGGCATCACTTTGAACCCGTACATGGAAAGTCCACATATTGGAGCTTTGAAGCTAAGCCCGACACACATGGCAGAACAGACGAACGTCTCACAGTCGAATTATAGCAGTCAACAAGTCAACGGCTATGTATCCCACCCTCATCCGCACCCTCATCATGGTGTAAGTGGCTATGCTCCCCAGCCATACACCACGGGACGTGATTTCTTACTTCGTAGGGATCCCCTGTCGGGCCATATGCCGCGTGGTGGGATGTCGACACACGATCCAATGACAACAAATTCAGGGATGTTTCCGACGAATCCATCGTATCATGGACCCCATACAGACGCTGGATCGACAGCTCATGTTATATTTCCAGGCCTGCATGACCAGCCACCAGCTAGCCATCATATGAACGGACAAATGCGTTTAGGAATTCCCGGGGATATCCCCCGACACGAACAATATAACCCAATGCAGGCCACACGGAATGACTACCTTACCTCCTCAATGACCACACAGCTCCATAATACCCACATGAACCACATGAATGCAAACATGAACAATTATATGAACATGGGGCCGCACGGTCCTGGTGCGTTCTTTCGGTACATGCGCCAACCAATTAAACAAGAACTAAGTTGCTTGTGGATCGACCAAGACCAGCCCGAACCTAGGAAACCATGCAACAAATGTTTCACAACAATGCACGAAATTGTAACGCACATAACTGTTGAACATGTTGGCGGACCCGAGCAGGCGAATCATACATGTTTCTGGCAAAATTGTCCACGAGATCAGAAACCTTTTAAAGCAAAATACAAACTCGTCAACCACATTCGTGTACATACAGGTGAAAAGCCATTCCCTTGCCCCTTCCCTGGCTGCGGTAAAGTTTTTGCACGATCCGAAAATTTGAAGATCCACAAGAGGACTCATACAGGTACGTAACGAGTATTTTCTCAATTCTTTGTATTTTTATATATTTAATTAGAATTATAAATTAATGCATGTAATATTTAGCAACATATATAGTGGTTAATTTCTTTTACTGGTTCTTGATTAAGTTTTCAACAGTTTACGTGGTAATTTTGTTATAGTATAGTTTATTGTTTTGTTTGTTTTGTGGTCTCATGCTGGTAGCCAGAAGAGTACACATCTAAAAGTACAGTACAAGATTTTCTATAAACTTCATTACATACTTTATTTACACACAAGATACTGGCATATACCGGGTGGATGATAGTATATTTATATAAATTATCATTCTTTAAATATTTATATAATTTTATAATTTTACTACAATGGAACGTCATGCAAAGGTTGGCGATTCTTTTGTTGTATTAGAAAAAAATAGAGTAGTAGGCCTATTCTGACATGCTGCACTTAATTTTACACACATCCGACTTTCTATACAAATTCTATATTTTAGTCAAACAAACAGACAGACCTATTTCTCGTCCTCTCCATCACATATTTTAGGCTACAGATTCCTTAATTTTACAATCAAAAAGCTCAAATATCATGTTAAGTATGTGCATAATCATGAAACCTATATATAAGACTTGGAGATTTCGTGCTTTTGAGATGGTACTTTTGTGATAACAGAAGGCATCATCCTCCCTGCCTCCCTTCTATTTCAAAAACAATGAGGTTGAACGAGAAAGATTTTTGCTTGGTTTTAATCATCATTATTTAGACATATAATTAGGCGATGTGTACATAAAAATACAGTTAAATAGAACTGTTAACATGATAATGACCAAAATACCATATTGCTTCATTTTTACTACGAATAATGAACGTTAATTAAAAGTTGTGATTGAGAAAACTGGCAAAATTTTGAATTATCATTTTAGGTTTCTTTGGACGTTTTGTTCGACGAATTTAAACAGTTTATTTTTGTTTACTGGCTTAGTTACTAGGCCTTCAGGACAAAGGCGTTTAATTTCAAAAGCTGAGAGAGAATTGACAGACCTTTTCTTTTGATATAGACATCAGAGAAATCGTAGCTAGTGGCCCTTCCCGATACTCGTTCCATAATGAAGCAGTCCTCTGATATAACGTTTCAAATATGGCGGCTATGTTTCGATGCAGTTTATTACAACAAAACTATCAAACGCCAACATAAGAAATTCAGTTCTTATGTAATGTTTACACTTATATTTTCTAAGCAATCCGCAAGATATAGCATTATATTGATTTATGTTTCACCTTTCCGTTAATAATTTAACTCTGACAGACGTAACCGTTATTTATAAGACAAACTAAATACCATATGTAAGGCCATGTACTGTAAATTAATTGTCTATTGAACTAATTGATGTACCCGTTGACTGTTTAAGCATTTGTTAATGCTCCTCTGTTATTTAATAGTATTAGTTTCCATAGAAACTTCTTTTTTGCAGTACAGTGCAGAGACTCTGCACTTGTTACAACACATTGGATAGATGAAGCTAAATACTGTCTCTTATACACATCTAGATGTGTATAAGAGACAGATATATATATATGCATCGGGCCTACATAAACAAATAAATTAGACTTATTGATAAAAGCAGTGTTAATATACATAGGCCTATATTGACTATGTATAATTCGTTTTCGGTATTTACTGTAATTGCAAGGGTCGCGCGAATTGTCACGGTCATAATCTTCTACTTATAGGCCTATTCCTTTTTCTTCTACGTTGTCTTCCACTACGTATTCTTTTGTCTCTTATGCACTCAATTTTCGTTCTTGTTCTTCGTTTTCTATTTTCACCCTATTTCGGTTTTTTCCTAATCTTTAATTTCTTTTCCTCATCTTCTTTTATTTATTACTTTTTTTATCTCCTTCAATCTCTCCTTGTCTCTTACTATTCATATCATTATTGTTTGGTTTCTTCATCTTTTTAAATTTTAATTGAGTCTCTTTACTCAATTATTTCTTTCTCAGTAATTTGTATTCATTTTACCACAAATATTTTACACAACTTATTTATTTGAAACATATGAATGGGGCTACTGTATGTTTCTGATTGTGTTTAATTATTCTATTTTATTGGATTAATAATTTATTAGCTAACCATTAATTGGCCTATTGCGATATTGTTGTTGCTATGGGAATAATGGATAACACTTCATCAGATTATCAATTAAAGGATAGTGACATAGTGTAATATTATAAATGTAATATTTTTAGTGTATTTTTCAATGAATCGTACATCAATTAATCAATAAATCAATCATAAAGTTAATCCTATAACAAACAAATTGTTCCATTAATTATTGTTATCATCAATATTATGAGTTTTTAATACAGTATCAAAACAGTTAAACGCAAATATAATATTCTTAGCAACTATCTTATATTTGTAACAAATAATCATTACAGGGAATAGGCCCTATATAAAAATAAGTTATACAGCTGCCTATTGAAATGAATTATATTTTTCTATACTTCGTTTAAAACTCCCAAGCAATTTTGATGGATGAGAAATGTGTGTATGTTTTCTTTCTTAATTACACATTTCGCCTGCAAGTTTCAATCCGTAATCCCGGCATCCGAAGCGCGGATTAAGTAATCTAAACTTTAATCCATGTCGTTCAGCGAAGATTTGAAACATTTTAATAAAATTTACAAATATATAAACAGGACGAAGAGTAAACATAACATAACTCTACGAACCCGGCATTTCAAATTGACATTGCTAATTCGATGTCTATTTATTTATTATACATAATTATTATAGGCCTATCGTTTATGCTTGATCAAGGCCTTTGGTGAACATCAGGACCACGTTTAGTATGTAAATTACCATAGCCCTACTCATTTTGGATACAGTATTAAATTATGATCACTTTTCTTTATTGAAGTTTTTAATAAATCTATAAATAATTATTCTAAAAAGTGTTCAAATGGTTATAATATCGATACTTAAACTATACTAATGGACTGGTTCTTGTCAAAAGTAGTCTAGATCCAAATAATATGCTATATAACTATACTGACGGTATTATAGGTCTGGAACTTAATAATTAATGACATCCTGTTTATGACATACATAAAACTGCGTTAAGTTGAGTAGGTTTACTTGTTAAAATAACTTTATAGTAGGCCTGTATTTAATATTATATACTTTTTCTTAATATCGAGGCCTACTACTGTATAATATTTAAATAAACCGTTTTCTTTTTCCATATTGTGTTTTACTACATCCACTGGTGCAGGCCTCGCTGATTTAATGCACGTTGGTGAAGAGCAACACCGGTGTGGAGTGATAAACATCTTATAACATTTAGATTTCTTCCGTTGTGGGCCTATATAAGTTTCACTTGAAAATTAGAAGTAGAATGAAAAAAAAATTCCTCGATAATGATGGAACGTATAAATAATATATTTATTATACCTTTAAATTTGCTTGTTTCTTAATTTTAAAAGATCTTTAAATTATCAAAATAATGTTTTGCCTGTCTTAATGACATTTTTATTATTTTATATGAAAAACTAATTGTCGTCGGCTATAAACGATCACTTTCTTTTTGTGTTTTTGTCGCGTTTTTGGAATTTATAAAAATCGATTGTGTATTTTGTTTATTTCAATTGTATCAATTCTTCGTAAATAATTTCTATAAATAAATAATAAATATCTCTTTTATATTAGTCTAATAACACGCTCATGACACGTATACGTATATAATGTGTATACAGTATATACATAGAGTTGTAAATATCTGGGCCTGCATTTTTACTCAACGTTTCGCTTAAGAGGACACCTACAGTAAATCGTTCGTTGACTAACTATGATCCTTATTTCCATGGGGGGAAGTGGTGATTTACACCTAGTTAAAAAAAATATCACAGAACACAAGCAATGACAGACATGTCGTAGGCTAATTGTTATCGGTCCCCAAGTAGTAGTAGGGAGTTGGTAGTTTAGCAGGCGATATAGGTCGAACGTAAGCCCATGCGAGGGATCTGGAACATATAAATGCGGATGCAAATAATGTTATTATTGACGTAGCGGTGATACACTCTGTTCGTCTACAGTACGAATTAGGAGGCGATATAGATCACGAGTCTATTGAATGTTGATATTTAAATGTATTGTGCAATCTGAAGTGATTCCACAGATGGGCATACAATTAAGTCTTTTCACCCATTACTCGTTATTAGTAGAGTTAGGGGTTTAACGGCATGAGTGATGGGCAAGAGATTGTTCGTGTATTGCCTGTATAAGCCAATATTATATACTGTATATGCCTATATTATTTATCTAATTGTTTAATGGCATATAAAATAGAATATACAGTACTGTACAATAGGTTATCAGTATGATTATACAGTAGTAATATTATATGGAAGAACATGTTATAGGCCTACTATATAAAGGGTCAAAAGTCGTCAATATTAATTAGCCCAGTTCTTTGACAGAGTAAGATACTGTATAGCATGAAAATATGTAAAATAGAAAGAGTGTGGGGTATTTAACAAAGCAAATCATGAATGGTCAGTGATCAGGAAAGCTAAAACAATGAAAACAAACTAAAAGGTCCATAAAATAACAAACTGTAGTGGACAATAACTAGTTATCAGCCAAACGTTTAAAAACAAGCATATGTCGAGCTTTAGGTCTACGATACATAAAAAGGTGACCAACAATTTATATTTACATGTCCGCAACATTGTTTTAGTATCTAGGATAGGTTTTTTGTTGTTGTCATTGTTGTCTTAACCGCTTTATGTTAAAATAAGTTTTTTATTGCTCATTAAATTAAATTATAACACTATCCAAATAGTTTATGCAAATAAATTTATATTCTTATTTCTTTGTACAAAATCCATTGCTCAAAGAAATTATTTACAGAGTACTTCGTATTGGTTTTACTGAGACAAGTCATTTTATAGAACTTCCATTTGTCATTTAGACCTACACTTGGTTCATCACTTTAAATTGACAAG